CTGCCTGGAGTGTTCTGTGGCGTGTGTGTCTCGTTCTGTTGGTGTTATCTCTGTGTGTGTCTGCGTGTGTGTCTGCGTGTGTGTCTGCGTGTTTATCTGTGTGTGTGTGTTTGTGTATGTTTGTTTATGCGTGTGTGTGTGTTTGCGTGTTTGTCTCTGTCTGAGTGTCTGTGTGTGTCTCTGCATGTGTGTGTGTGTCTGTGGGGGTTACCTGGACTGTGGCAATGCAACTCTGTTTAACGACCCCTTCCCCCCCCCCCACAATAAACCATGGGGTTACCTGGACTGTGGCAATGCAACTCTGTATAACGACCCCCCCCCCCCCCCCCCCCCAAAATATATATATAATAACCATGGGGTTACCTGGACTGGTGGCAAATTGCAACTCTGTATAAAACGACCGCCCCCCCTTTTATACCCCAATTATAATCAGTTTTTACACGGGGGTAATATTTACCCGTGGAGCTCCCCGGATTATTACCATTTTAATTATATCAGGGTAATTTACCCTCGCCATGTATACCACCCGCCCCAGGCCCCTACAAGGACCCCGACCCCCCCCCAGTGAAGGGGTTACCTCCCCCCCAACCCCCCCCCCCCTGAACTGTAAACGACCCCCCAGCCCCAAACAATAAACCATGGGGTTACCTGGAGCTGTGGCAATGCAACCTGTATAAAGACGACCCCCCCCCCCCCCCCATCCACAACCCCACCAACCCCCCCCACAAATAACCCCCCCCCCCCCCACACCCACCACAATTAAACCAATATTACCTGGACCGGGCAACACCCGTGTATCTGTACAACACACCCCCCCCCCCCCACCCCCCCCACCAATAAACAAGGGAGGGTTACCTGGACTGTGGCAAATGTAAACTCTGGTATAACGACCCCCACCCCCGAGACCCCGGACACCCCCCACCCGCACCCCCCCCCCCAGGGGAAGACCATGGGGTTACCCCGCCCCCCGGCAATGACGCCACCAAAAATCCACCGCCTAACGAAATGGTTGCAACAACCCCGTATAACGCCCAGCCCCCCCACAATAAACCATTGGGGACCTGGACTGTTGGCAATGTACTCTGTATAACGACCCCCCCCCCCCTCCCAATAAACCATAAACCATGGGTTACCTGGACTGTGGCAATGCAACTCTGTATAACGACCCCCCCCCCCCCACAATAAACCATGGGGTTACCTGGACTGGTGGCAATGCAACTCTGTATAACGACCCCCCCCCCCCCACACATAAACCATGGGGTTACCTGGACTGTGGCAATGCAACTCTGTATAACGACCCCCCCCCCCCCACAATAAACCATGGGGTTACCTGGACTGTGGCAATGCAACTCTGTATAACTGTGGCACTCCCCCCCCCCCCCCCCCACAATAAAAACCATGGGGTTACCTGGACTGTGGCAATGCAACTCTGTATAACGACCTCCCCCCCCCCTCCCTACAATAAACCATGGGGTTACCTGGACTGTGGCAATGCAACTCTGTATAACGACCCCCCCCCCCCCCCACAATATAAACCATGGGGTTACCCGGTCTGTGGCAAATGCAACTCTGTATAACGACCCCCCCCCCCCCCTTCCACAATAAACCATGGGGTTGAAAGTTACCTGTACTGTGGCAATACAACTCTGTATAACGACCCCCCCCCCCCCCCCTCCCCACAATAAACCATGGGGTTACCTGGACTGTGGCAATGCAACTCGGTATAAACAACCCCCCCCCCCCCCCCCACACAATAAACCATGGGGTTACCTGGACTGTGGCAACGCAACTCTGTATCCAGGTGAGTCTGAGGTGTTGTCGTCAAATTCCAGGTTAAAGCTCTGACTGTTGGAGATCCCCATGGGTTCTGAGAGCTGGATATCCTTCATCTCCATCGTTTCCATCGTGGAGTTATTCTGCGGAAAGTGCAAATAGTGGGATAAAGTACTGAAGAAGTTAAACGTATGATATATCATAAAAATGCAGCATATATTCTTATTCTTAACTGCCTCGTCCCATAACGAAACACAAGCTCTTAACCAACTGATGCCAAGTGCTCCCTTCCTTTATTACCGCATACAACACATCCCATACCCTTCTTTTTAACACCACTCTCTAGTGCCGTTCTCTGGGTTTTTAGTCTGCCTTTATGTCTATGCCTAACTACTGGACGTAAATTTGCCTAGAGAGACCACACAACAGCCAGGAGCTGCTGGGGTTGGCTCTGCAACGTCCTGTAAAGGATACGCAATTAACCTTATGTCTATGCCCCTGTGGGTCCCAGTTTAGAGACATTCTACTTATGTAGTTCCACAGTTTTCTCAATATGTCTCTTATCTAACGCCTGGCCCGGCTCGCTAGCTCATTGGTTAAACCAGCCTGCGAGGCGACCAGGTGACAAACTCCTTGTGGTCCGAGTTCGCGCTCGGGGGTAGGCAGGAAAGCTACATATTTCTCAGATTTACGGTATCTAACAGGGGAAAAAGAGCAACCAAGAGGTTTTTAAAGAGGCGGAAGCCCGAAGACAACTTATCACAGACATAGGAAGGAGACAGTAATCATTTTTCGGCCATGTTATGAGAAGAGGGAAAATAGAACATGTTGTGACCACTGGAAAGATCTGTGGAAGGAGGGATAGAGGAAGACAACGAGAGAAGATTTTTGACAGTCTTGCTGCATGGCATGGAGGTGTGTCGGCACACGAACTGATACATGCTGCATGAGATCGTGGATTATCGAGAGGCATGATCGGCCACGCCAGTCGGCAAGGCACCCGGTGATGATGATGACGATGATGATCAGGGAATCAAGGCCGAAGGGTTGCGATATCTATAGTACTGAGCCAAACGGTTTACAACTCATGGTTTCTGAATAATAAAAACAAATTCTAACGCCAGCGCGTCTTTTGATTCCATGGGATTTGTTTAGTCCCTGCCACTCCCTCACAAAGCTTCACATTTTATTATCAGAAGCATATCGTTAATTGTTTTTCTTCTTTCCGTCCAGGATATAAGAATTGTATGATAATTAGCAAGCTGACAGAATAGCTGCTGCGACCCCTCTGAGCTGGGAAATACTTTATGATAAAATGGTCGTGGTTAAGGCTGTAAATGATTCAATGAATAGTGCAACAAATTCAGCTGGAAGTCTCGACAATTTTCTACCGTCAGAGGAAAAAGTATGTGAACTTTTAATTAGGCTGCATGCAATAGACACTGTCCGTACGGGGAATCTTTACTGACTTCTGAAGAAGGGGTCCGACCGTAGTGAAGTCAAGTGTCGATTCATTCATTCATTTATTTACGCATACATTAATGAATTCACAGTATGTTATGTTGTTACTATTCCATGCTTTCCTTAGCATCCTAGTAAGTGACGGAAAAATGTATCGAATGCACGAGGTTTTAAAAAATCTGTTTCTTCCCCGTGTGGGTTCCGGGGTCTGATTTGGGGTGGAAAGGGGAGGGGGGGGGGGTAGACTAATTACCCCCTTACAAGCATGTCGTAAAATGTTACTAATCAGAAGTCTTCTGGATCGGATGTGTTAAGCCGAAAGCAAAAGATAAAGATGATGAAGAAGAAGAAGAAGAAGAAGAAAAAGAAGAAGAAAAAGAAGAAGATATTTCTTGGTGCTATTAGTACTAGTGTAACTCAGATTAACTGCTGAAAATGGAGACGGAGCTTTTATGGGTACGCCCCGAGTGCTGTTGTGTTGATTCCTAACTCTTATCTACATGGTGAAGCACCACCTCATTCTTTTCCCTGTCCGCCCACTATATTCTTTGCAATTTACCCCCAGAAATCACATCCCTACTGCCCAAAGAAGTTTCCCAGTGCTCCTCCTGCTTATTGTCCAAATGATAGTGATAAACTGCGACAAAACGGTCTGATTCTATATTTACGACCAGGACGCCAATTTGCATCGAACCTTTACAGGAGAAAAACGGCCCGAAATTTGTCTTTCTGACGGAATTGTCGCGGGTCGGAAGGTCGATAACCAGGTCTGCCCATCTGTCAGTTGAAAGTCTGAGAGCGTCTCTATGGATTTACGCCCATGGAGCAAGAAGTAAGCTTAATTACTGGGATCTTATCTCAATCCTTGGTAAGGTCAACTTGTGGAAGAGTCCCAGGGGAGGACTGGCACGTCAATATGTCTTGCCTTGCTAGGAAGAAAAGAAAAAGAAAAAAACAATAGGATAGTCTGGGAGGAAATTCTGTGACCTAAGTTAAAGGTCACCAGTGATCACAAAGCAGATGCTAGAAGAGCATCCTAACGCAGAGATTATCATAAATTTAGTATCCCCCCCCCCCCTCTCGTGTCTGAGGATATGGGGTGGTCAGTTTCTTTTCTTACTATCTGTTATTCTTTAATTATTGAAGGACAAGGGAAATAGTTGGTTATTATATAAAAGCGATGTTTTGTGTTGGTGTATTTTAGTGGCAAGAGGAAGACAGCGATACATGTGGAAAGATAAATTCAACGTAAAAGTAAAGGTAAAGTTGAGAGGATCGACTTCATAACACCGGGCTTTATCCCATATGGCTCAGTCTATCTCCGCAGAACAGCTAGCTGCCTGTCAAGAGCGTTGCACAGAGCACGACCTGTCTAGCTCTGGTGACGATCCACGGGATCTCCGTAAAAACTGCACTCGTGGACTGAACGACGCAGCCGTGAAACGAACCCACGATCTTCGGAGCGCGAGGCAAGCGGCTCGACCACTATGCCACAGAGCTCCCAGATAACTTCAACAGGTGGATACCCGATTTCAGACGTTGTACATGCAAAAGACGAAACACACACACACACACACACACACACACACATATATATATATATATATATATATATATATATATATATATATACTGAGAGAAAGAGAGAGACACAGAGAGAGCGAGAGAGAGAGAGAGAGAGAAAGAGAGAGAGAGAGAGAGAAAGAGAGAGAGAGAGATCGTGTAAGAGTGTACGAGATCCAGCTTGCACTGAGTGACGGCCCCTGATTAGTTGACCCATGAAAATTCTCATCTGACTGCTGTGATTGTCTGTCTAAATTACTGTGTATTAAGAGACAAGATAAACGCACAAGGGTTCAAAGCGAATTCAAACGATGATCTTTAGTGTCAGAAAGCGAAGTATATAGTAACCACAACACACAAGTTGAGGTTTATTTCGTAGAGGTGAAGAGTAATGTTTCTTTCCTTGAATTAATGAATGAATCAAGAATTGGCATCATTGCACTCGGGACGTTCCCATACACGCTCCAACTCATCTAATCAGTAGCCAACAAAAAGTCGACATGCTAACAGTGCTAGATGACACCTGATCAAAAGTTCGGATACGTCTCCCCCTCAGTGTTGAATATCGTTAAACACCACTATGCAACACCCCAACCCCACCCATCAAATAGGTCTTTCAGTTTATGGATGCTCACACGGTTCTACTGCACACTGCCCACCTGATCCCCGAGCGCCTTTAAAATTTCCAGGTTCTTCTTAGAATCCTCTCTTAATTTATGCGTGATGCTGATTATATCAGTCATGTTCCTTGTATGAGTTCCTGGACGTGGCAGAAAAGGGGGAGGGGTCGGGGGGGGGGGTCGAAAAAAAAAGGGGGAGGGGGTCGAAAAGGGGGAGGGGCGTGACAGACCCAATAATTCCCCCTGCATGCATGTTGCAAAAGGTGACTAAAAAGGGTTTAGCTGAAATCGGATGTCTTGGACCGAAAGGCACATATATTGCAGCCTAATTGTCACGCCAAGGGAAAATAATGAACAAGAAGAAAAAGAAGAAGAAGAAGAAGAAGAAGAAGAAGAAGAAGAAGAAGAAGAAGAAGAAGAAGAAGAAGAAGAAGAAGAAGAAGAAGAAGAAGAAGAAGAAGAAGAAGAAGAAGAAGAAAAAGAAGAAGAAGAAGAAGAAGAAGAAGAAGAAGAAGAAGAAGAAGAAGAAGAAGAAGAAGAAAAAGAAGAAAAAGAAGAAGAAGAAGAAGAAGACCAAAAAAAAAACGAAGAAGAAGAAAGGCTAATAATAATAATAATAATAATAATAATAATAATAATAATAATAACAATAAGAAGAAGAAGAAGAAGAAGAAAAAGAAGAAGAAGAAAAAGAAGAAGAAGCGATTTGACAACAAACTCTAAAGCATAAGAAACAAACTCTTTGTAATACTATCAGAGAGAGCATAACTGTACAACATAATAAAATATCTAGCCAGATTTTTCGAACATGCTCAGACCAAAATCAATTGACGCATTAACACACCACGCGTTGGCTGACACTCGCGAACCATACCTGAAAACACAAGGTGCCTTGCTTGAGATAAAATCCAGATGAGAGTGAATTCTAAACCCCAGACTGAACGTTCACAAAACCAAATCAAACACCATATTTCAGTACCCGAGATGCTTTACTCTTCGTCAAAATGCAAATGTTCTAAAATGTTCAACCCTTCTATCTTAGAGTAGCCGATCAATACCTCATTATCTTTTCCTAGGATGAGGTTGGCGAAGTGTCTTCCCTTTAGAAGCGGAAACGTTTGTTTACTGTTCCCATAACAACCGTTTCTGTTGAAGTGTTTTCAAACCAACGTCATTTTTGGCGGGAAGTGTTAAAGAGGATATTCAGGGCGATGTTGCATAGAACTACATTCTATATTAAGCGATTTCACCGCATCACTCGAAGGAAATAAGTTCAAATTCGAGGATTTACAGTCTTACATTTCCGCTGGGAGCGTGTTCTGGTAGCCGCTGGTAAACGCGAAGCGGCAAAAGTGTCTTCGTGTGCGATAACTCTCCATCATAGGTACTAAACTCTAACACTGTCTAGTAACTGGTATGCTGACACCGTTTGACACTATGACAAAATATGGAAACAACATTCACCTAAGATGGTAAACTGGAAGAAGAAATTAACATTG